GTCACAAGCCCTTCCAGACACAATATCCCTCGATTTAATAACCTTGCATTCAAGCTTTCCAACTAATTTCAGGAGCAAATGTTTTGCTCATTGTTTCTAGGGCGTATGGCTGGAGAGTGGAATTTCCATATCCCAAGCAAATGAGAACATAACCCTGTAGTATTTTAGATTTAAAAATCAATAGACAAAAACAAAATATCTTGACATTGAATTGTCACACACAAGGCAGCCTATCTGAGGCGACCACACAGTGGTGTAGGGCCTGGCTGCAGGAGGGGAAGGCAAAGCAGAGGCAGACAGAGGCCCGAGGGGTGAAGCAGCCTCGGTGGCTGGGGACACCTGGGAGGCAGCGGTGTCCAGGAAGTGAGGAAAGGGGATGACAGAGCACAGGTCAGGGAGGGAGCCCAGGGCCCACCAGACAACCTGCCCTTCATCTCACGGCCACGGTGCAGGCTCGTCAAGCTTGCTCTGAGGGCTGCCACTCAGGTGGGATGGAGGTGGAGCAGATGGGGGCTCCGTGACAATCTAGAAGATGGGAAGTGGGCTGGGGGGAGGCTTGGGTGGGAAGAAGGGATCAAGTTGGAGGGATGACGGAGGTAGGAAAACACATCCTTTTTGGGATGTGTGGGTGGAAGAGAGAACAGTTATAATATTTCGTTTCTAGACTGAAATGTTAGAAAGTACATTTCCAGTGAAACATTAGTTGTCTGTTAATTTCCTATGGAAACTGGGGCATTCGGGACATGGAGCTCTGTTTAAGGAGAAGTGATCTTTGAGCCAGGATCTGTATGGTTGGTAAGGGACCAGCATCAGAATCTCCAAGTCAGAGATGGTTGTCCGGCGCTATCTATGTTTCCCTTCCCCCAGCCAATTTCAAGATTACTTTCTTTTTGGTACAAAAAATAATGATGATAATCTTGCTGAGAAGGAAGATAGCCAGGGAAACATTTCAGCGTGTAATCAATCTGCCATAGTTGCTTCGCAAATTGACTTATTTTTCCTGTCAAATGTGATTTTTCCAGATGCTGGGGGAGCAATAAGAAACTTCGTTTCAAATGCTGGGGAAGCAAGGAAAACTTCAGGATATATTTTACATAAAATATATATATACACACACATATATATGTCTGTGTTGTGTTAAAATATTTTCTTCTGTTACTTGAGTTCTGCTGTGTTGATAACTTTTAAAGATGGTGTTTAGGGTGTAATTCTTTTTTTAAGCAAATCAAAATAATACCAAGCAAGGATCTATGTAACTATAATCACAACGATGGCCTTAAAATGTTACTTTAAGTTTGGATGATTCATTTGAATCCCAAGGAAAGAGAAACAGCTCAAGGACCCACACTTAGAAGAGGGCTCGGACCGTCAATTAAGACAAGGACAAAACGAACATTCACATGGTCCTTTCAGACTTGTCAGGGGAGCCTTTCCCAGGCACTTGGACCCACAATTCAGAATCACTACCTAATCATCTTCAGACCTGGAGGCAATGCGAAGCATGAGTACGTGAAGCCACCCTTGTGAAACGGGAAAGAACCACGCCCCTCCCTCGGGAGGTTCAAGTGTCCTGGAATAGTTTAGATAAGAGCTGCTAAGTGCAAACAGCCAGGAGGGAAGCATTCAGGAGCAGGGCACTGCCGACAGGAGGAAAGATCTTATTTGCCGCGTGTTTCTTCTTCTACTAAGACTTCCTCACACTGGAATGAAATTTCACTGGGCAGATTTCTGTATTCCTGGGTTTCAGTCACAGACCATAAAGACACAAGACAGTGAACAGAAAGGCCTTCTGGGCAATAAACTGGGAAAGAACTAATTAGTCAAGGTCAAGAGACGGAGATTCTAGGGCACCTCTTCCCGTGTGGAGCAGCCGAACCATCTTCATTTCCAGGTTTGGTCTTATGTTCCTTCACATGCAGTGATTTAGGGAAAGGCTGCATTAAACGGGAAATCCTCACTTGGAAAATGTTCATTTTTATACTATGTAATGAATGTCCAGAGTCTTTTTCTTAAAAATTACTACTAGTCCTGGGAGAGAAAAGGACTCTTTGTCATGATGCTCCCAGGAGATGAGATTGGCACTGCTTATCTTCAGGTCTGGTCCCCTCCCCTCCCTCAACTGTGTAGTAGGTGGTCTATCTGTTTTTTAGGTGGTCTGTTTTTTTAAGGAACCGAGGACCTTGGAAATCGCACACTCACAGCAACTTTGGGATGGACCACTTTTGGCTGTTGAAAGGCAGGAAGTGGGCGTGGCCTCTGGGTAAACGCCAGTGTGCCTAGGGCCCCCAGCCCAGAAGTGCGCGCACCCTCGTGATGCTAGGCACGTGGGGTCCCCAGAGGGAGAGGACCACGGTGGCTGAGGCGCGGAAGCCACAAGCATCAGCTATCGTCACTGTGGCTGTTACCGCTGTGACTGTTTCGGGGGCTACGCACATCCTTCTCTGTTCTGAAAGGGCATTCGACTACCCTACCACCCACATCTCTTAAAACCTTAATTCCGTCTCGCTCCTTCCAGTCTGAAAGGACAAATCTTGCTGAGAATCAACACAAAATTCTGATACTTGATATTCCTGTTTCTGTTTCACTTCTCTCCTAGAGACTTCAATCAGTCAGCCGTTGGGTCAGATCACACAGAATTTTACTTTATTTAGTTACATTGTATATAGAAACTACACATGTGTCTACTAGATATATAATATCTAGATGCACACATCGCATGTATACAGAGATCTATAATTTGCTTCAGTGTAAGATTAACCACATACACCTTACACACATGCTTGGTCATCCTGAAAAGCTGAAAAATAGTGAGACTTAAAAAGCATTTTGTATTCTGTCGTTCTCAAGCTTAGAGAAAGATATGGCCGTAAAGTTAAGAAATTTTATTTTTAAAAATCAGGTCTTTTATGCCTTTTAAAGTTCCTGGGTCTAATTTTAAATTGGAACTTGACTTTAAAATGTCAGATTACAAACAGTCCTCTCATGGCTCTCCACGGAGGTAACCACACTGACTCAGCAGTTCTGGAATCAGGGTGGGGGATGGTTAAGGATTCATCTTCTCCTCTAGAGAAGTGATTCAGGGCAACAAAAGACAGAAATGTTTTTATTTAGCTCTTAAGTACTTAAATCAATAAGAAGATTAAGGCTTATTTATACCAGTTTGTAGATTATTACTTCAGAGTATGGACTTAAACCAAACTCCAGCTTGAGTCTATCTTTAATTGTTCCAAACTTCCCAGAATAATTCTTTCTAAATATTATCTTTGCTGGGTGTTAAGAGTAACTCAGACAACTCTTCTGGATGACTTACACAGCTTTAACTTTAACCTCAAAAATTCCATTACTCCCATGGTAATGAGAGAGTGAGAGTGAGACAGAGTGAGGGGGCGGGGTGGGGGGAGCAAAGGGGGGGAGCAGGAGGGAGGGGAAATTACAAACTTCTATCTGTGAGTGCTCTTAAATCATGTATTTAAATTAGAAAAGCTACAATTTGTAAAAGCTGGGGGAAAGGAAAGAATGAATTAAGGAATAAAGAGCAAGCTAGTTAACAAAGGTTAACAAGGGTATCACATCTCAGGTTTCATGCGGTCTGCATTAGGGGTGGTTGCTGGAATGCCAAATAATAGCACCTGATTTTTTTTTTAACCAGTGATCTAATCTATTTTGACTCACATTGAGAACCAAAGGCTTCAACTATAAGACTCTACAAATGATCAGAGGTCTAGTAATTGTCAGGTTTCATGCTACATTTGATCTGCCCCAAACAAGGGAGGCCATAAGCGACCATGAACCGTCAAGGTAACCAGCCTGGAGGAAGACACCAGCCCAAGGGGCGGAGTCCATCACTGCAGCAAGAACTCCGCTCTCACACTAACCGTAAGGCCTCACACCACCACTCACGACGCGGTGTGCAAACTGCTCCAACAAGGAAGCCCTGGGACTCCCAGGGAGAAGCCCTGCCCTTCCCATCCTACTTCCTTACTCTTACAGGCAGAAGCACAGAATCACTCAACGGTTAACATTTCAGGAGAAATTAAGTTTGACGACTGGCTCTATGAATGGTTTCTTCGCAGAGAAGGACAAGTTTTAAAGAAAGGCACTATAGGCAGGTTTTTCTTTTAAAAAAAGCAGTTTTATAATCTCAATTATTAAACTTAATAAAAAAACTCTGAGTCCTAACTATGTGAAAAAGAAATAAAAACAGGGTTTCTGCCCTCATGACCTTACAATTCAGACCAATGAAGGGGCTTGTGCTCCCACTGCGGGGCCATTAAGAAAAACAAAGAAAGGAAATTAAATTTTAAATACCCAAAGTTGTGCATGCACAATGACTTTAAACGCGAAGCTTAATTAATCCTTAAGCACTCCTGACCAAACAGAAACACGCCTTACATATGAGGACTGTGGCTCCCAGAGTTGAGCAACTTACTCAGAGTCCAAGGAAAACGGAGCAGTGTGCCTGGCTGAAGCCCACGTGCTCTTTCCCACACCTGGCTGGCCTGCATTTGTGTGTAATTATATAATTTTACTGCCAAAGATCTAGGCAGTGAAGTGAGCTTCGTGATGCTCTTGTGCTTAGGTGAATTAAGACGAGCTGGCATGCCCGCGGTCCGCAGTGACTGGTGGGAGAAGCAGCAGTCCTGCCTGGCACGTGAAATGCTGAGCCACTCAGCAGAGTCCCTGCGGTCCTGCCTGCTGGACTGCACGGCCATCTGCCCACCTCTGAGCTGCGGCCCCTTGCCAGCCACGGTGCGGACTTCCAGGAATCTAAACAGTTATCTTCCACACGTGATGTTACTGAGCTGCCAGACTCTGAGTTAACGTCAAGTCACACTGTATTTTACTGCTTGTGATTAAAAAAAAAAATCCAGCAAGATTCCAAAATCAGAGCAAGGCATGAGTCTTTCAACAGATGTTTTAAAAGACAGGAAAACGAATTAGGAATGAGGTTTCTGATCATTCGACTAATGAATGTCTTTCTGATGCCTGTTCTTTTCTAGCTTGAGAACTACATCCAGGACAACATGAAGAAAGAGATGGTAGAGATACAGCAGAACGCGGTGCAGAACCAGACTGCCGTGATGATAGAAATAGGAACCAACCTACTAAACCAAACAGCAGAGCAAACCCGGAAGTTAACCGATGTTGAAGCTCAGGTGGGTCGTGACAGCCAGACGCACAGCAGCACAGCATCGTGCTGCACGGCTACTGGTGAGACGATGGGAAAGCAAAGCAAGCTTGAGTAGAGGAGGGGAAAAAAGGATGTACTGACAAGAAGTTAAGAATCTGCACCCAGAGAGAAATCTAAAATCAGGACTAACTGGATGAATGAATCGAAGCAAAGCACTCGGCTTCCCTGGGCCTCTGGGGTTTTAACCATCAAATGGGGAGTTGGCTGGACTGACTGCCAAGTTCCCTTTTAGCTTTAAGATTCTATAAGCTATCGATGAATAGTAGTAGGAAAGAAGAAAATGAAATATGAAAACATTAGAAGAATAACAGTAAACCATTTAAACAAAATTCACCCAGAGCTACGCTGAATGACACACAACCCGGTAAGAGGAGCCCAGGTGGGGAAAGAGTGCCCTTGGAGCGATTTACGGAGATGCTCCAAGTTCAAGCCTCGTCATCGGTGAATCAGCTTTCTGGTTCCTAACCCTGGCTTTTTTTATAGGCTTATGAAGTTATACGTCATGCTGCTCTGAGTTATACATAATGCTCCCCCCAAAGTAGATTTAATCGTAAACGGCTCCCATGACACACGATTCCACTGCGCTACTCAAGCTAAAGGACCGAGCAATGCCAAGTGTCAGCCAGGAAGGGAAGGGAGGTGGGAGAAGGCCCGAGCCTTCTGGCTGAGACAAGCCCG